CTGGGACCAGCGAGCTCTCCCTGACTTTTGTTCTACATCTTTTAAGATGTACCAAAGCTTCAACCTCACCCTGGCTTAGAGAAGCCTGAGGACGATGACGACGACGATGATGAGGGTGAAGTAGGCGAGGAAGGTGGGAAGAAAAAGCCCCCAAAAGGTACCCATCACAGGGTCCAGTCGGGCCCCCGAACACCAAACCCATACGCCGCTGACAACAGCAGCCTAATGTTTCCCATCCTCGTTGCGTTTGGGGTGTTCATCCCAACACTGTTCTGCCTCTGCCGGCTGTGAGCTAAAACTATCTACTAACGAGACGGACACGGGACTGTGAAGAAAGGGAGGAGGAGAATGAGGGGGGGAGGGGGTCATGGTGGTAACAGCAGCACAGGTAAAACATACACACAGGAGAGGGCTGGACAAGGAAGTACACAAAGAAGACAATAACTTTTGGAAGACCCACTGCAAGACGAAGCAGATGCTGTAAGAATGGGGGGGAAGGAGATGTGGGAAGTGTATGCTGTGCGCTTCTCTGTGAATTTGTTTGCATCCACCTCTGCTGACCCTTTTGAACAGTGTTAGCCATTTCCACACCAGTCCTTCAAAGGCTGGAAAAAAAAAAACATTTCGGCATTAAAAGGATGCTCGGGAGTGTTTGGTCCGGGACGGTTTTTGTAAACTAACAAGCATTGCTTTGTACGGGGCGTAGCAAGAATGCACTCCTGCTCAGCATCTGGCCAGACATGTTACTTTCAAATTGGAAATGGTACTGCTGAGAATTTGATTAAATAGAACTAACTATCAAACGTCACGGTTAATGGAAATGCAGTTGTCATCTGAGAGACAAGTGCAGAGATGGAATATTCGTATCTTTCTGTTCTAGTTGGTCCTTTTTTGTTGACGTGCCATCTTCTACCTGCCATGTTGAAATATCAGAAAGTCCTTTGCAAACCGGTGGGCTAACTTGCTGTCTAAGTCGCCTTGCCTTTACATAAATGTAGGTCGGGTTTCAGAAATGCGTCTGTGTGCAGTGATGAACATCTTTGGTATTGTTCCACCAAATACTGAATCAGGGCCATCAAAAATGTCCTCATCTGTGATAACAAATTACAAGA